TAGATAATATTACAACTGTAGGCCACGCTTCTATTTCTTCGGGAATACCATGCCGTATAACATAAATACGTTTGTACAAGAACAATTTCTTAAAGTGATCACTCATGACACCATACAACACAAAGCACTTCCTTTCATCTGTCAATAAAACCAGAATGTCATCAAATTAGATAGATACTCCTACTGGCCTTGTAGGACGACCATTGATTTTCGAGATAATCAAGGAAATATTCTTCCAAAACGTGTCTCTCCTTTCCTGTGTGCACTTACAAAACATCTGTGTCAACATACCCTGCATAGGGCTAGTGCCAAAATGTCAGAAAACATTACCAAGATTTTACAACCGGTATTAAAATTAACAGTGGGAGTTTCTTTGGTGAGAATATTGGTGCAGTTATTCGTAAGTGTTCGGAAATGGCCTGTAACCTTTACTCTCAGTATTTTTTTAAAACGGGGAAATTATTTCAAAACAAGAGGATACTTTGAATGAAGTAAAAGGATTTCATGAAAAACTGTATTCAAGTGTCAGTAATATTGAAGATATAATTCATATCTAGATAGCAATAATAATGTTCCAAAATTAAATTGCACAGAATGTTTACTTTCTGGGGGAATCATATCTATTGAAGAAACTTCATATACTTTAAGAAGTATGAAAAACGAGAAAAGTCCGGGATCAGATGGTTTTACTGCTGAATTGTAAAAACAAATTTGGGTAAGTTAAGAAATTTCGTGGTAAGATCAATTAATTATGGATTTATCAATGGGTAAATTATCAATAACTCATTGTCAGGGAATCATTACATGTAAACGTAAGGGAGACAAACCAAGGCAGTTTCAAAATATAAGAGACAAATTTTCTTAGTTAATATTATACACAAAATAGCATCAGCGTCAATAACAAGTCGAATAAAAATGTGTTTAGACAAATTAATAGATAGGAATCAAGCATGTTTTATTGTAGGGAGGTATGTAGGGGGAAAATTATGATACCATGGTGTCCGTAGAAGAAAATGAAAACCTGGTATGCTCTTGTTTATAGATTTTGAAATGCTTTCGATTCTTTTAGTGTGGGTTTAATCAATACTGTTTTTTTAATTTTGGGGTTGATATATGCAAATGGATAAAACTTTACATGTCAGTGCACTCTCTTTAATAATCAAGGCAGTAATCTTTCAACTTTTTTCGAATTAAAGAGAGGCTGTCGTCAAGGAGAACATATTGTTCCTTATATTATTATAGTATGTGTTGAAATACTTGCTATTAGGATAAGAATAAATAAGAATATAAATGGTATAAACATAGATAACGTTCCAACTTTTACTATCACGATATGCAGATGATACATAGATTAATTTAGAGAGTAAAAACTATTTTAATGGAATCATTCCATGAACAACTTAACAAAATGTTCCTGTCTAAAAGTAAATAAAGACAAAGCACACGTTATTTGGATAGGCAGTAAAAAAATTTAGTGATTTCCATGTGGAATTTACATCGGAATATCACTGAATTTACAGTTGTAGGTATTGTGGTTGATGTGGACGTAAACCAAATCCCCAGACTTAAATATGACAAAAAATTGGTAAAGCTTAAATCATTAAATAACACTTGGAATAGAAGAATTCTTACACCTCTTGGAAGAATACATAACATTAAGTGCCTTCTCATATCTATGTTCTACCATCTGTTAATATCTGTTAAATCAAAATAATCTTTTTTATAAAAAAAAACCTAGATACAGAATTTTTTATGCAATGGTAATTCAGATAAATTAAAAAAGAGATATCATTATCAAAAACTCTCATGAAAGAGGGCTGAAAGTGATACATATACAATCTTTTATTGACAAGAAATGGAAAATGGCATGCATTCGTTAAAAGACATAGAAACAAGGATATTTCAGCTTCCTTTGGTAACGAATACAAAATGCCAACAAAGCTGCAAAAACTCATTTTTGAAAGACGTATTAAAAAGTTGGTATAGATTAGTAAAAAATTGGAAAGTCTTGAACATAAAAATTGAAGTCATTCTTAATATACCCATCTGGCATAATAAAATACAGATTGAAAACAACAGTATTTTTATTGGATGGCATAGGGGTAATAAAAGTAGTGGAGGTTTTTTTTAAAATATATTTTATTATGAGTTTTTACAGAAATTCACCATACATGCACATACAAAATTTCTTGCCTATCGATGGTTATTAATTCCATCTATAACTCCAGACCAACCAAAACCCCTGGTTTACTATGGTAACATGATGTTTGATATAATTTACATAATGTTATGTCAATGATGTAGTTCTTTGAAATATGATTTATCTTGTGTAAATCTAGATGAAAGAGCCGAATGATCTTGTGGAAACCTTTGTGAAAATGTTTTCCATATTTTCTTTGATTTTCCTAATTTTGAACAGCAGAGACGTTTGTTTTTCGTTAATTTTGAGAATGTTTGCATTTATACTTTCTTCTTTCAGGGGAAAAATCTGCCTGTAGCACTTATTTAGTGATATTTAGAAATGTCCTCATTTTCATTCAATCAAAAAATAGATTTTAAATTATAACAGGTATAGTTCGTTTTCCTAGTTTGGAGGTCAATGTAACTTTCCTGAATGTATTCAACTATAAGTTTTGGTTCATGACCTCTTTGTTTGCCAAATGTAGTAAATGTAATTTGTTTCTGGAGAGGGATTATGGAAGCGTGCGAGGGGTCTCATTGTCGACAGAAATAAGAGTACCCTCGGGAAAACCCACCTGGTCGGGCAGATTATCCCATACCTTTTAATGTCCGTTTCGGGAATCGAAAACCGAGCATCTAGGTGAACGTTAAGTGCATTACCACTGCGTCACCCGTCCACCTATAATGTTTATATGTATTAATCTATATAGCTTTTGTATAATCTTCGAGATGCACACCATATTTAAATCTATCCGAATAGTGGCAGAATTTACATATATAAATGACATTGTTCTAAAGATATATGAAAATTGCGAAAGTTACTTTATTATGGGGCTAGTGCACCTCCCCATCTCGATTTTGACTTTTCTTCCGATGACTCCGATTTTCCTCAGTCTCCTTCTAGGCTTCAAAATTTAGTCCTTTAACATCAGTGACGAGTCTCAGAAGGACGAAACAGTTGTATGTTTCAGTCTATTTCATCATTTAGCTCACCTCTCTAACTCTATATTTGTATAAAAAAGTGTTATTTGCCTGTGTGAACAATCTTGAAGGACTTTGCAAGGCCTGTGCTATAACGGCAGCAGCAAATTCAAACCAACGAAAGATGCAAAATGTAATAGATACATTGTAGAATCTTGTCTCTTGATGAATTTCATCTCCTGAGGTGGGAAATTCGATATTTTTCACACGAACCCCGCACTCGTGATATCTAATTCACCAGATAAAATTTAATTTGTTCACCAAGAAACAAGTATTATCCTCCGTATAGCTTCCTGGAAACCTAATCATAAACTGTGGTTTTCCCTAAGTAGTGCATTGATGAATCTAGACAACCTGAAATACACTTATATAAATACACCAGCAAATACATTGTACAGGATGAAAATTGGTATGCATACGTAGTTAATGCAGTCTTGAAATATGGACAATCTCCAGTTTTGTCATTGTTTTAACACAGACAGAAATGAATGTTATCATCAAATACATCGTTTATAGTAGACCCTCATTATCCCACATTACAGTGGTTGATCTTCCCATCAGCCCGATGCCTAGACAGGATTACCTTATCTAGCTGACCGCTGATGCCTAGACAGGATTACCTTATCAAGTTGACCGCTGATGCCTAGACAGGATTACCTTATCTAGTTGACCGCTGATGCCTAGACAGAATTACCTTATCTAGTTGACCGCTGATGCCTAGACAGGATTACCTTATCTAGTTGACCGCTATTGACTCCGTCGCTTCGGTCCTGTAGATATCATTGAAACAGTGATGTATGATTAAACACTTTATTTAATATCGCCATGTGCACTCTTTTGAAGGAGGTCCGAAATATTTTCCTGAGATTTTGCCGAGAAGTTGATAAGTTGAAAAAGCACTCGGCCTAATGCCTCATGTACATACTACTTGCTTCAGCGAAATTTCAAGAGGCATTTTTGCTCTATTTCTACATCATTAAATATCCTATTTGACTTCTTCTGGACCTACGATATCTCCTTTATCTTCCTTATGACGCATTGGATATATTCAGGATGGCATTCTTTTAAGTAACATGTCAATACTTTGTAAAACTAGCTCTTAAAAGAATGATTGAGACAAAAATTAGATTGGTTATGAAATTAGTTATCTTTCTAGACTCATTAGTACTAAAACCAATTTTAAAGGTCGAAGTTTTAAGAACACTCTTATAATATGTTAGCAACACTAGGAAATGATTCCAATTCATTTGCTACAGTTATAAGGTGGATGGCGGAATTTAAGAGTGGCAGGCAGAGCCTTGATGATGACGTCCTTCTTTGAAGGCCTGTCACTATTGCAACCCCAGAAATAAATGGTCAATAAATTCCATGATATTGTTTTGCCTGACAGGCGAGGTACACAGAGACATAAAGCCCGTCTGTTGGTATTTCACAGGAAGGAGTGCATTCCATTCTTACGGAATATCTTGCAATGAGAAAGCTCTAAGCTCGTAGGTTACCATGACTTCTGACAATTGATCAGAATCACACCAGGTGGTCTTTGTTTGTCATTAACTCTTGTTGCTTCGAATTGATTGAGCATCCGCTTTCTTCGCCTGATCTTGGTCCATCAGAATTTCATCCATTTCCATAATTGAAAAAGAAAAACATTTCCGGTACCCACTTTCGAAAGACGTCATATATGCAGTGGAGGGCCCTCTGAACGGTCAAGAAAATTACTTCTTAAAAACTGCCAGTGACGCCCGTAGTAATCTATGGCAAAAGTGTATAGATACTGAAGGGAATTATGTTGAAAAACAGTTTAAACAATATGTTTGCCAAAAGCCAAACCGTTAAATATGATGCTCACAACTTATCAATCAGCCCTCGCAGAGTATTGGGTAAACACACAAGGGTAGATGCTGTTCACTAAAATGTCTACCGATTTTACAATTCTATTACGTTCTATTAGTCTCATGTTCTGTTGATTTTAACACAAATATTTCATTTTGTTCGCTTTATAACAACGCAAACTTAATATGACGCAATCTGTGACGCGAACATTTGTAAATCGGTGTGCTATGTAATTATATCTACAAATAATTTCCGCAAATTAAATGGCATGTATTTTGTTTGAATGGTAAAATGATGTGTTCAAACAGAGGTAGATGTAAAATGTAACAATGATGATATTGAATTGTTTTTGTTGGCAAAAGAAGTTCTTATAACACAACCTATAAAAGATTTAGTGTGACGTTTCTTTCGATGACTACACTGTCGATTGACTAGTGTGAAGCGTATTACAATTGAACACCTACGTACGGAATGTGCGAGATGGAAAGGAATCGACTGTCAGTTGAACTGTAATACTATTGTTTACGAGATATTGTCCACTATAACTGACTTGTATACTTCGATCAGTTTGGTACCGATGTTAAAATTTCGGCTTGGTATACGTGATGCTAAAGAAATAAAACAGATATGAATTACTACAAACAAAATTACCACTGGAAGCAGCACAGCGGTAAAAAAGACCAACAACACTCTACTAAAAATGTAGCACCTTACAGCCGACTCGCTATAAGTGTCGCGATTTCAGAAAATGAAATAAAAATGTTTACTATCAAAAATATCGTTATCTTTATATGTCTCGAAAATTGACCTCATTTGCAAATCTCTGAGAGGTTAGTTTTACATAATAGACCCTTTTCTGCTTATGACACCATCAATGGTTCATACATGATGTACAATGTCCAATATGCAATCAACATTCAGTGAAGGCATCACTATGTATATGAAACCAAAACACGGTTCAGCCGCTTTGTCGTCGTTAATAATAGCTACCATTAGAAGCATTTCAAAGACCTGTTAAAGTACATCAACTTTAGTCATTTTCTCTCATTCTTAGTGTCACTGAGCTCATGTTTTATCGAGAAAAATTCTCTGAAAAAAATCCTTAAACTTTCGATTTGATATAAAGAATGATGTGTGAAAATAAGATATCCAAATTTCACACAAACGGATGTATTGCATGTAATCCTGTCTTTAAAGTTACTTAATATAAACGTCACAGATAATAACGATATGTGCAAGGAATCATAATTCAAACGCAATTCGACAAAACTGGGCAAAGTATGGACATAAATAAAACAAAATGAACGTTACCAGCTTCACATATAGAATATATCTCCATGAGATCATTTGACGATCGTAAAAATTCCGCATAATCTTTATCAACCTGCATCTCTTGAAACCCTATGTGAATTTTCATATCGGTTGTCGACATCTTAGACGAAATTCAACACTGAGATAACCGCGAGAAGTCGACTTGAGGAGCATCTATTTGAACTTAATTTGCTGATTATTCACGTTTAGCTTAGGTTATTTTGAACATCTTAATTCCTAATAATTTTCTGTTCCAGGGCAGAGTATTTATCGGCGAGGACGAACAACAGCGGAAAATCGACCGGTATCACATTGAATGCCTCAAGCAAATTTTATATGACAAGCCTAAAGCAGGTGAGTAGATATCAAGCGGTCTGTCACACCTTGTCTGTCTTATTGTATCTTTTCAGGAGTCACCGTGGTTTTTGTAAGCTTCATAGAATTTTAGTTTTTATCAGGATTATGTCGCGATATCAGGTTTTTGTATTGCGTTCGGGAAGCCTGTAATAATTCTATTTAATTCTTGACATTGGAGAAATCTGGGCCTTGGGTCATTTACGGATGTAATGTCAGATTTAAAGCGTGTTATGAAAATTGACCATATGCGAAGACTGATGGATGTTCAAAAGGGAATTAATTTGTTCGTTGTTAAATATAGATTTAGCATATGCTTTATATAAATGGCATTATTTTTTCACAAATGAAGACTTCGTCAACAGCCTTCAGGATGTCACATCAATGTAGTGACGCAGATTGCAGATTATGACATCCAGGCATTATGCCAGTTCACGAAACATTGAGGAGATGATTAATGAGAATACTTAATACCTTACACAGTCGCCCCCTAGGTTACAACAAATGAAGCCTTTCGTTATCATTAGCCATTCCTAGACGTTCATTTGTCCATCTGTTGTGTAATTAGCCAAGTAAAAGGCTGCAGAACGTGTTGTGAACATGACAAAGTGATAACGAACTACACAGACAGGAATACCAGTCGTTATCAGATCTATAATGAACTTTGAATTATCCGGTCCCCTTTCCTTTTACTTTCTAAAACATTTCCGTTTGATTTTCCGTTTATTCATATTGATGGATTTGAGTTTGAGTGACAGCTTTGTTTACCAGGTCGTAATCTTCAGTAAACATTGCTGACTTTTACTACAATGTAGTCAGTATATACAGCAGTTGGATGAAATGGACTCATTTCATTGACCTTACGTTATCATTCATATAGAGATTATATATATTTCTTATATCAGGTAGTAATTATTATGCTAACACTTCAGTGTACTGCTGAAGATAATCGATCCGACCACCTGGAGTTTAATTTGTTACACCGTTACAATGCAGAGAGTAATAACTATTGTTATTAACTTACCTGGCCCGAACGGCCGAGCTTATGTCGTGGTGCGGCGTCCATTGTCTGTACGGCGGCAACTTTTCTATTCGAAAAAATCTCAAAAGCAAGCGATCAAATGTCATGGTATATGACTGGTAGGTTTTTGGGATGAAGCCAAACAAAATTTGCGAAACCTTGGCCTTTATTCAAGATCACAGAGGTCGAGTTTGTGAAAGCCTTGAAGCGCATAAACGTGGTATCTGGTTGATAGTTTCCTAGTAGGAAACCCAACACAGCTCATAGGGCCAAATTTGCTTAAAAAATTTAACAACTACATCTGACTTGCCAAAAGGCTCAGAAGCATTGTTTAAAGTTTTGTCATGACATACATATATATGACTCGATAAAGTGTGTAAAAATGGAATGACCTTGAACCATATTCAAGGTCACATGGGTCAAATCATCGAAACCTGTGAAAACTTATTCTAGCAAACCAAAATTCGAGAAACAGTATATTTGGTGAAAATGTGTTTTCTGTGACCTATTAAAGTCCAGCAATCTTCGAGAGAAAAAAACAAACATCTACCAGTAATCCGAATTATAACTGTCAGTGTTTGAACTATCTAGGGTCTGGTTAAAATTAGATTTATTTTTTCTTCATGCTTCAAAGATCGACAAGCTTTATCAAGCACTAAAAAATCGAAAATAATCCATTATAAATCTGATGCCTAATAAAACAACTGGCGAATGTTCAAGGATTTCCCCCCTAAACTAATAACCGTAATACTGTTAAACCTGTAAGATGGCCTCGCTCTGTAATTGTAAATCAAATTTATCGATATAGCGATTGTAGAACACCGGGGGAAATAAAAGTGATGTTTGCTTTAAGTACCATTAAACTGTTTTTAAATATTTTTTTTTAATAATTTCAACATCAATGAGTTGTCTTGTGCGAGGTTTGAATTTTAGTCCTAGTCATTAGTGCTCACAGTTTTCGCGAGTTTCTTTAAAACGATCATTTCATCTTATTAAAATTTCGCGATCTGGATGTAAATTAACATTTCATAAATACATGTCTTAATATTACAAGGATTACATGTTCGCTATCATAATAATATACCGCGAAAAAGAGACAACATCATCCCCACACAAATAACCGTCTATAAGGTATTATTGTTGCAGTAACAAGTGATTTCTGCCACCATACAACTCCTTCAGTAAACATTAAATACCGGGATTTTAAATGTATTACATGTATATCATCTATATAGTGTAAAATCTACCTCCCGATATCATTTAAGCTGGATACAGGCATATTTGAATTTAGATTCAACATCATTGTATATTTTAATAACGGAAACAGAACAAATTTCGGTCTCTAAAGGTTGACCTTATCTCGTGTCTTAACATGAATTTAAATTAGATCTGATGGAAATAAGACAAATCTAAGTGATATTAATCTATACTGTAATTACAGATATACTTATACATAGTTAGATAGATAACTAAACTTAATACACTGGCTATGTATCATCTTTATACGATGAAAATACAAAACAATATTCACTGTCAGAGTATATTGCGGACTTCAGGGGCGACAACTCTGGTAAAGATAGTCATATAAAAATATAGTAGGAAGATATCGATATACTTGAATGCGTTGACACTGAATTAAATCAGAAACCTTTCATGTTATTTATTTACGTTATGAATATAACCGTAATCCAAACTCAAATTCAATTAAACTAGATCAAATTATTAACGAATTTAAAGAAACAAAGATTCCTGAAAATGTTCAGTGAAAATAAGACCAAGTGTTTTGAAAGTGTAAGCGTCTTCTGCTTCAGCGACAACACTCGCCTGGTAAATACATATAATGTTGATTTATTGTTTAAACAATTGAAAACCAAACAAGCAGTGGGCTCGCAAGGGTCCTTGTGCATTTCCACTGGACCATTAGACTATGTAAATCTTGGTCTATCCAAGTAAATAGTGTCACAGTAAACAACGGAACAAACAGACATATTAACGAGCATCGAACAAGTCCAGCTTCATATCTAATACGGAAAATAGAATATTTCTCAACGCACAGCTGTAAAATCCTGAGTTGTGAGATTGTTTGTCAGCTGACGTCTAATATCGTGCCCTTGATTTCCAATTCCGATGGGTATATATAATGGACATAGTCAATAATTTTCTTGTTGTTAAAAAAAACATGTAATTATCAATATAACCGTAAGTAATATAACTGTATCTGACACTAAATTTGTATTAAAGTAGTTTACCACAATTGCAAAACAAGTTTTTTCCCGTTTTATATAAACCACAATTGTTGGCCCGAAGTTCGCGAAAGTATTTCTGTCGGAGGAAACCGGAGTACCCGCGCGAAAACCCACGTGGTCGGGTAGGTAACCCCATACCTTTTCACGTCAGTTCTAGGTTAAGGACGAAAGCGTTACCATTGTGCTATCCGACCATTCTCCAATGACCACTTAGTTAGACCCCTATCAGTTGTAATAAGCCCGTGAAAATACTCGGTTGAGTGCAATGAACGCATTGTGAATTTAGAATAAATGTTTATAAAAATATGTTTGCATTTAATAAGTATGACATAACAATGAGAGACTGCTGCGACAACTTTGTCGGTAAGGACGTTGACCTACAAATGTAGGGTTCGACGCTTCCGTGGAATCTGTTTCCCGGTAAGCTGATAATCGGATCGGCCTGCCGGTGTAGGTGTGTTTTTTGTCAGGATGCTATACCTTAATTGCTTTAAATGACATGCGACGGATCACCCGTATGTTGTTCGATGTGGTACACTTGTAGCCATCGGCCACTACAGGGAGACCTCGCCGCAAAGTAGCTCTGACTGTCCACTGTGGGAAAAATGTTATACCAACAGAACTTACATTACTGATCACTAAAATCAACAACTAGATATGGCCTTACGTGATAAATTATTATTTCAGAAGGCACATTTTGTTTCCGGCAAGTTCACGAGAAAAAGTGTACGAAACTTGTATTCTATTTTTAGTAACATATAAAATGACCTCTGACCAGACGAAGAGCAACTCCATACTTTCACACAACTAACATGTCTACCACATATAGACAGAGAGTCGAGATTTTTCACTTGAAAAGGAAATTAAAACGTGACAGTAATTACAGTTCCGGTATCTGGTCACATACTTGTAAACTCTACCCAAGGACCTAAAACCCTCACATGTAACCACTTACATCAACTGTGTACCCAGAATGATTATGATATGTTAAAAGAATAGAAGAAAACCGAATCACTTGTGTATTTTAGTAACTTCATATGCATTTAACCAACGAACATGAATTGCAATGCCATGCTCCACAAAGTAGTATATCACAGCTGATTATTTATAACAGAATGTAGTGCACGGTAAGTAACGCAGACAGGGGGAAAACAACCAAATAACAACGCTGTTACGAAGACGTTAATTTCCAAACCAACAAAATTACTCCTCTTGTTACGATGGATTACATCGCGTACTCTTATCGGTAAGATATCGATGAAATAACAGTTTGAAGTCTCCATTCAGGTTATTAATATTCTGATCAAAGTACAGTATATATTCGTTCTATTTACTATGTCTGTAATGAAGTCCGGAGATGTGTTACTGTTGGTAACTGTCAGCACCATTCCCGAACACAATGGACTGGAGAGCTGCAGACAGATATAATGACGTGCCTTGATACATGATGTGTGAGTGTAACATATGGTGTTGACATCATAATGCTGTATAATTTCGTTTACATCTTGTCCCAGTTTAGTCAACAAAGCGAACAGATACATACCTATTGATCACATATATGTACTCGTGTCTTGTTCCCAGCTGCAGGTGGCCAGTGTCATTAAATGTTATATTACAAAACAAAATGATTTATCTTTCATCTGATTGTCTCCGAAGGAAGGCCTGACTATGTTTGGCTGCATATATCAAGTGGCGCCATTTTTGAGTTTTCATTTTTTTTTTTTTTTTTGGCTGCGATTTGTTCGTGTAAGTCGAGATGAAAACTGACAAAACCCATAGCGTTACTCCCAGGTGAAAACTCTCTACCGAATGTGCCGATGTGAAGTCGTAAAAAAGAGGGGGAAACACTCGCTGCTTTAGCTATAAAGGGCAATTAGCCACGGTGGGCATGTGGTTAGGTATCTAACCGTTTTACAATAGCCCTCCACGTCTGGGGCGTGGGTTCAAGGCCCACGTGGGGCAGTCGCCAGGTACTGAACCTAGGTCGGTGGTTTTTCTTCGGGATTTATGACTTTCCTCCATCTACCAATTCTGTCACGTCCTTAAATGATCATTGCTGTTAATAGGACGTAAAGCAACAATGAACAAACGAAATTAGAATTACCGATTGGTGCTAGGTACAGAGAGCATTAGTTATGACATGTAGTCAATGTGAGACTGAAACATTTCAAAAGTCGTAAAGAAGGGAGATAACCTGTGTTTTGATAATCAAAGCTCACATAAACGTGCACGGTAAAGGAGTGAAAGGGGAGTTCCTGAGATATACTCTAGTTTTTATACGTATTTTGTTTTTGTGGACAAAATGTCATAAAAATGTTTAGGAATGTGCTGATTTGTTTTGAATTCGTTGATTTTACATAGAAAACACCCTCGAATTGCTTTATAAAACTATTTTTATATTAGTCATAAGGAAACATACAGACGTTAGAATTAAGATACAAAATGATTAATATTTCATTAATTGTATGCAGGTTTCTGATTCGTCAATTTTAATTTTTTGATGAAAAACAAATTTGGTTCAAACCACTTAATGATTGGAGGAGTGATTGACTCTGTGAGTCTACAACAAATATCCAGTAATCTATGGTTATATATTTGCCTCCAATATACATTGAAGGGAATAAATGATTAGATTTCTTTATTTTTTGTTGTGTCTACCAACTGAGATAGCCGAGTTCATCACGTGACATTTCAGAGCCTCGTTTTCCTCTGTTTTGATATCATTTTTAAATATGTATATTCATGCAATTAGCCAGACGTGTATCAGTTCTTATTTTGTAAAATGATATATTGTTTAACGCTATTTGTGTGACATAACGAAATAAATGAATTTGAAATAATCTTAATCTAAAATTGCATGCGCAATGACATTGTTTACACTCTCCTAACGATGATATGGAATAGTATTGGGTCTCTCCAACTTTTTTTTAACTTTTTGACGTTGTCAATAAAATGGTTATGCAAACTTTCCAATATCATAATTAACAAAAAGGACACACTTTTGAAAAAATGTTATAATGTTTTTTATCGGTAATTAAATGAATGTATCACCATTTAGCCCCTTTACATTTTATGTGTACGATACTTTTCTCTGTTTACGTGCGCCTTTTGTGCACTACTGAAGATTTAACATATAAAACGAAAGTCCGATTAGTCATCGACAAATAACAGTTGTCATATTTCTAATTTCCGGTTGCAGTCTCAGATGTTGTGTGGGTACATTTCACACGACATAATAATCCTTTGATCTAGTGAGCTTGACGTACATCTTGTATTTTGTTTCCGGTGTTATCTTTATGTATAATTAGATAGTTTTTTTGTGGTGGTCACAAAGCTTCTTTTCATATATCTTATATTATACTTATCAGATATGGTCAAAAACAAGTTCATTACTACGAGAGGTCCAAAGTTTGAGTTCACCTTTTCAAGTCTGTGATGCAGTTTAATTTGTCATTTGACTCTACAGTATCTAATTCTAAACTTGTGTTTGAGATGCTTTTCTTTACACTTGTGTCGTTGGTACAATATGTTACAGGTTATGGTAAACTTTGGAAACTGCAGTTGCCCACCAGTGTCTATCACATGCAATATCGGATGTTTCACAAGATACCCGTGTGAATAAGAGCTTGCTACATAAATTAAGAACTAGAAATAATACAACTGACCAATAAATCAAACTGAAACTGTTGTGCATCTAGACCTCGTCAGTGAAGCTCAGGGTCTAATATGTTTAAAGCTATGCGTGTTTATCAAATAAACAAGAAGTTTTTAAAAATTATTTGGTTTTGTTTAAGGTTTGTATTGTAACCGAACATGGGACGGAATTGCATGCTGGCCGGAAACAGAGCCTGGATCATATGCTCGGATGCCTTGTCCGGATTATTTTCATGGATTCTACGTCAACAGTATGTATACATAATTGATTGTGACACATAAATACCATCAGTCAGAGGTGTCAAAAACCACTAAACTGGCAACTCGGGTCATTCCATTTAATCTTTTCAAGGGCCTGTTCCTATCATCACGATTTTCTTGCAAGAAGTCATCAACCGACAGACAAACTCATAACATAAAAGTTTTAAAAGATACAGGTTAATGAAAATAGCTGGGAAGTTTTACTGCCGTCACAGTGATCTCATTGGCAGATATTCTATTTCCTTCTACGATATGAATCAGGACTTTTTGATGCCCGTTAGTTTGCCTGTTGGTTCCATTTTTGTATACCTTGTTCTAATTTTGAGAACATGACATTACTTGCTTAGATTGACCAATGTTTACATGACGGATGTCGTCGACGAAGCAGAAGACGGTTGCTCTTTTGGAACAATTAGTCAAATGCTTTGGAACCTTTTAGGAAGCTTATTTGTCAGTGTATTGAATACGAGTTTGGATTATGATTATGTTGACATTTTGATATTTTCTTATAGCTCAATTCTTGTATAATAGCCAATATGAAAAAAAGAAAAAAGAAAAAAAAAACATCGTTAAAGATAAATATAATATAGGTATGTAGTATAATGGTATACTAAACTATAGTACTTTTTGATGTCGTGACCTTGGTATCATATTTCCCCCAGGAAGGGATCCCGTTCTTCCTTTTCATCACTAATATTTAGGATTTTAAATACTTGTAGCAAATTGTGAATTTCTTTTTTAAATATGGGTAATGCCATGCTGTATCTTTCAAGTTTTTCATTATTATGGTTAAGCATATATATATCTCTCTCTGCAATGATTAGAGGACACCCTACGGTGACCTTATTCCTTCGCTGTACCAAAGTTATAAAGAAAAAATATTAAATTTTTGCGGCCAATTTGTTGCATTTTCTTGAAGAAAATTAAATTTTGTTAGAATTTGTCAAGGACATGACAGACTCTTCTAAACCAGTCTTGATCTTTTACTGCAACAAAACCAACATAGACAGCTTCCTTCCAAGCTATATGATAAGCGTAATGATTTCAATTTCCCTATTGTAAATTTTTCCATTTCTAGATTAACACCAAACCATCATCCCAACCAGCGATACTTGCTTGTCACAGCTGTTCGATATTCAATGGCGGTTCCCATTATTACGATTTTCTTGCAGGAAGTTGTCAACTTACGGACAATGTTGGTTCCGTTGTTGTTTACATTTATCTCACCTGAGAACGTGACTTTACTTACTGAGATTTACATGTCGGGAGTTGGCGATGACGCAACAGACGCCAACTTTCCCGGAACATCTGGTCTTATTCTCCTGGTACTTTCTAAGATTCTCTATGTAAATAGTTCTTTTGTTCATATTGTCCTGTAGTTTTATTAAATTGAATTTGGTGATAATTCGATAGTATGTACATAATGACACTGAAATCTAGGTAATTACAAGTCAGTTTTAGTTCTACTTATATCCAAATGTATGGGGAAAGATTGTACGAAAGACCGCCTGTAAACACAAATTTAGAGTTAGATGCAACAGAGCAAAGTAATGTCGTAAACTGCATCATTCAGCTGCATTGTCCTTGTAGGACTCGTCAGTACTACCAAGGACCTAAATTTTGAAGTCTAGGAGGCGCTTGAGACAGAAGCAAAAGCTAGGTGGGAACTGCAGTGGCCCGTAATTCAATAAATTTCGTTATTTTCATATATCTAACCATTTTAGAAGAAAGTAACGTATAGGTGTACATTTTGAATCGTACAACTATTCAGATGAATTGAAAAACATGGTATACAGCTTACTACCTGGAGGACTAGTCCACCATCAGTGTCTACCACCTAGAATTCCAAAGACTACAAAAAGCACATTCGTACATTTTTATGCAGTTGTGAGATAATTCTAGAATGTCAGTATGTTTGCTAAGCACAAATTTCCTGGTTTGCACGTGGTTTGATTACGTAAACCAAAGATTCTTATCAGGCGTCCTTAGATTTTAGAAAGCCATGACCTTGATACTTTACTAACCAAATTTAGTCTATATTACTGTTATAAGTTATATTAAATATCGTTTTAAACACTGATAGTTTTAAATCATACTTTGATTGACTCTCTATTTATCACGGCAGAATTGATCAATTAAAATTCATAGTCACAGAAAGGAAGGTGTGTTAAATCCAGTTTCACAAGCTCCATACTGTGCATGTCAACCATTGGCTTTGAGGCCTGTCATATCTATAACGGATGGAACTGATCAAATAACACAGAAATGCTTGGGGAATGTTCTGCCTTATGTCTAACAATGTACGACGTAATGCGCCAACAACTAGATATGGGAAAGATCGGCTTCCGACGTCATCCCATTTCCTCTGAAATTCAAGATTTTGGACAAATATGATGTCACAGCATGCTAAGGTTCTGTTGGTGTAGATGTACTTGTAAATCTGCCTGAGGCCATGTGTTGTTCTGCTGCAAAATGATGTGACCCGGACTATGTTAAATGTAAATGATGTGACCCGGACTATGTCAAATGTAAATGATGTGACCCGGACTATGTTAACTGTAAATGATGTGACCCGGACTATGTTAACTGTAAACATAATAACGTATTATTTCGTCACAGTAAATGATGTGACCCGGACTATGTTAATTGTAAGAACATGATAACGTATTATTTCGTCACAGTAAATGATGTGACCCGGACTATGTTAACTGTAAACATGATAACGTATTATTTCGTCACAGTAAATGATGTGACCCGGACTATGTTAACTGTAAACATGATAACGTATTATTTCGTCACAGTAAATGATGTGACCCGGACTATGTTAACTGTAAACATGATAATGTATTATTTCGTCACAGTAAATGATGTGACCCGGACTATGTTAACTGTAAACATGATAACGTATTATTTCGTCAAAGTAAATGATGTGACCCGGACTATGTTAAATGTAAATTATGTGACCCGGACTATGTTAACTGTAAACATGATAATGGTATTATTTCGTCACAGTAAATGATGTGACCCGGACTATGTTAACTGTAAATGATGTGACTCGGACTATGTTAACTGTAAGAACATGATAATGTATTATTTCGTCACAGTAAATAATGTGACCCGGACTATATCAACTGTAAATAACGTGACCCGGACTATGTTAACTGTAAATGATGTGACCCGGACTATGTTAACTGTAAGAACATGATAATGTATTATTTCGTCACAGTAAATGATGTGACCCGGACTATGTTAACTGTAAATGATGTGACCCGCAATATGTTAACTGTAAACATGATAACGTATTTTTTCGTCACAGTAAATGATGTGACCCGGACTATGTTAACTGTTAAAACATGATAATGTATTATTTCGTCACAGTAAATGATGTGACCCGGACTATGTTAAATGTAAATGATGTGACCCGGACTATGTTAACTGTAAACATGATAACGTATTATTTCCTCACAGTAAATGATGTGACCCGGACTATGTTAAATGTAAATGATGTGACCTGGACTATGTTAACTGTAAACATGATAACGTATTATTTCGTCACAGTAAATGATGTGACCCGGACTATGTTAACTGTAAACATGATAACGTATTATTTCGTCACTGTAAATGATGTAACCCGGGCTATGTTGACTGTAAACATGATAACGTATTATTTCGTCACAGTAAATGATGTAACCCGGGCTATGTTAACTGTAAATGATGTAACCCGGACTATGTTAACTGTAAACATGATAACGTATTATTTCGTCACAGTAAATGATGCGACCCGGATTATGTTAACTGTAAATTATGTGACCCGGACTATGTTAACTGTAAATGATGTGACCCGGACTATGTTAAATGTAAATAATGTGACCCGGACTATGTTAACTGTAAATGATGTGACCCGGACTATGTTAAATGTAAATTATGTGACCCGGCCTATGTTAAATGTAAATGATGTGACCCGGACTATGTTAACTGAAAATGATGTAACCCGGACTATGTTAACTGTAAACATGATAACGTATTATTTCGTCACAGTAAATGATGTGACCCGGACTATGTTAACTGTAAATATGATAACGTATTATTTCGTCACAGTAAATGATGTGACCCGGACTATGTTAACTGTAAACATGATAACGTATTATTTCGTCACAGTAAATGATGTGATCCGGACTATGTTAAATGTAAATGATGTGACCCGGACTATGTTAAATGTAAATGATGTGACCCGGACTATGTTAAATGTAAATGATGTGACCCGGACTATGTTAAATGTAAATGATGTGACCTGGACTATGTTAACTGTAAACATGATAACGTATTATTTCGTCACAGTAAATGATGTGACCCGGACTATGTTAACTGTAAACATGATAACGTATTATTTCGTCACTGTAAATGATGTAACCCGGGCTATGTTGACTGTAAACATGATAACGTATTATTTCGTCACAGTAAATGATGTAACCCGGGCTATGTTAACTGTAAATGATGTAACCCGGACTATGTTAACTGTAAACATGATAACGTATTATTTCGTCACAGTAAATGATGTGACCCGGACTATGTTAACTGTAAATATGATAACATATTATTTCGTCACAGTAAATGATGTAACCCGGACTATGTTAACTGTAAACATGATAACGTATTATTTCGTCACAGTAAATGATGTGATCCGGACTATGTTAAATGTAAATGATGTGACCCGGACTATGTTCAATGTAAATGATGTGACTCGGACTATGTTAACTGTAAACCTGATAACGTATTATTTCGTCACAGTAAATGATGTGACCCGGACTATGTTAACTGTAAATGATGTGACCCGGACTATGTTAACTGTAAATGATGTGACCCGGACTATGTTAAATGTAAATTATGTGACCCGGACTATGTTAACTGTAAATGATGTGACCCGGACTATGTTAAATGTAAATTATGTGACCCGGACTATGTTAAATGTAAATGATGTGAATCGGACTAT